TTCATTTCATATTCATAAACTGGAAAAACAATCTAAAAATATATATAAAAAAAATTCAAATTAAGTGTATTTACCCTTAATGAGAGACGATTTGCCAATGGAATGAGTATTTTTACTCTTAAAATAAGATATTTAGATAAAATGCACTTGAAATAAGACAATGGAATTGTGTTTTCTTATTTTAAATGTAAATGATGTTAGTCCATTGGCAAAATGTCGCTTTACCTCCTTACTCCAAGAACAAATGAAATTATTTTAAGAAAAAATTACTTATCTAGATGTTGATTTTTCCCTGTGTACATCATCTAGATATCTGTGTTTGTCTAAACCACAACTAAATTTAGTAGGAGTTTCCATATACCATTGTGCACCTTGTATCACAAATATTTTACCGGACTTAAAGCTTGTTTCAGAGTTTAATCTGCTGTCATTGAATGCATCACCGTTTTGTTTTGTCCCAAGCGCAACTATAATATAAAAACATCCTGTTAGGTATCAAATCTCAGCACAAAAAGTAGAAGTTTTAAAGTTTACTGACCTCCTGATGGGTTTATCCACCCCTCTGTGACGTTTAGAGCCTCTGAGTCATTCAAAGTCCCAACGTGGTCTCCTTCATAAAACAACTCTGGTTCTGGTTCTAGAGAGATTTTTAATGTAAATAAATGCAACATAGTTCAACCTCATTTTAGATCAAAAATGTCATTAATCCATCAAGAGAAAAAAAGTTAGAAATTACCAGCATCTGTTTGAAATGTGTCTGTAGTGATATTATCTGAAGGTAGAGTTGGTGATTCTGGAAGAAATGAAATGAAGAAGGGATTCAGTTTATAGAACAAATGATAAAGCTTATTTCTAATAACAAACTCTATCTACAATTTATACCATTTAAAGATCATATTAACCTCATTAGTCAATGATTGAAACACGTTAAACACAAAGCAGAACTTCTTTATTTAATGTTTCTGGTAGGGATGCACGATATAATCGGCCCCCTATCGGTATCGGCCTTAAAACTGAATATCGGACATCGG